AAAACCTACTTCTCATTTTCTAAGATAAAACTGTTGTAGAATAATGAGCCATTATAATAAAAGCCTTTCTTGGCGGTCTCGGTTCGTACTGACGGCAAATATATAAATTCAATTTTCTTCTCGGACGTACAGTGGTGGAATTTGAACGTATAAGCAATAATCAATAATATARAGAATATTTCATACCCGCAAGGAGATACTGATTTTATCTCCTAGTTCTGTGGCTCGGATAACCACTTTAAATGGCGAACCCGTCTCTCCACACTTACTAACCAACATCGGAGGGACGTAAAAAAAACAGTGAGGACGTAAAGAAACCCTGGCAGTGAGCCGGCACCGTCAGTGCCTACACTTCATACTAACCATCTCTCATTCATAAATCATTGTAAAGCGCATTTGAACATATCCATATAGAAAAGAGCGCTATGTAAATATCATCATCATCATCATCATATGATTACTTAGAATTCTTACCAATGTTGTAATTTTCACATGTTGAAGATAACATGCAATATTTTCAAATGTGAAGATATTGAGACTCAAGGGAAAACAAAACTAACTAATTTCCCGAGGAACCAGACATTAAGTGTTTTGTTATAATTGAGAAATACTGAGAAGTCAGTTTACGAAATAAGAAGTCGTTATATATCGGCAAAATTCGTAGCTATATAACAGCACTTTTTAGGAATAGAGAAAAATAGATATTTCATGTATTAATCATCTTCATTTTCAGTGTATACCATGACGAATATACTACCCGACCCGTGCGACCATCGAAGTTTGTTGTCTCGCTCCCCGACTAGCATTTAAAACAGTGTCTATCAAAAAACTCCAACAAAAAATGTTAAAATGGCCGAAAGTCTTCAAAAGATTTCGGGTTCGGTTTTGTGTCAGGTAGCGAATTCCATAATATTTTATAATGAAAAGACTTTGATACTAGTAATTCTAAGAAAAGCAAAATCTTTTTTTGTTTTTCTTTTTTGAAAATTCTAAATTTCATTTGTTTTAAGGAGCGTTCGCGGGGACATGAAGTTGCAATCAGAATTTTTTTAACGTGGCAAAAACATATCCCAACATATTTTTGTTCAAAAAGTGAAATATTATTTCAATTTCTGCTATTGTTTTAAAAAATAAATCACTTTTATTTAAGTGTGTAGTCGTTCTAAGGGGGGAAAAAAACCGCAAGAGACCATTTGTGTCTTCGTGTAAGGAATTTTCTGGTTGTGTGTGATTTATTCTGTATTTCCATGATAGCCTCCATGATAGTCCATTGTTTTATTTTTGAATTTTTGAACTGTGAATGCAGTGGGRAAAAAAACCATCTCGACATGATGTCCTCATTAACTTTCTTATAAACTCGCGAAATTAGTGTCTTTTTGTTTCTTTATTTTTACRCAGAATTTAACGTTGATTTGAAATATGGCAAAAAACAAAATGCGGTTTTCCGCGTTCATTTTCACCGTCCAACATATTAGCGACCTTTAGATACGACAACGAGTACGAGATCGAGAAAAACGCAAAAATGTTTCTGATTGAGCGGAAGCGCCTTTGTTGACACGAACCGTTTTTTTTTTTTTTTTACTCGCTATTAAAAATCACTATCGAAATTCTTTTGGGGGAAAATCGAAGAATATTATATATCTTATCGCAAAATGCAAAAATCGATACTTTTGAGCAATTTTGGGGTACCCTGATACCTTAAAAGTGATAAATTTACAGTCGTTTGTATGTCTGGGGATATACCGTAATAACCCCTAGACATACAAACGTCTGTAAATTTGCCATTTTTCAACTCAAAGTTTTCTTGGTCGATATAACACCTGACATGATGAATCTGTGTAGGTTTTCTCAAGTAAAGGTGTTCTTTCTAGTGCTGGTATTGCTTTTAATTTTAACTCATTTCAATTYTTGGCCGGCATTTTGGCAATTAAGGTCTATTTGTCACACGAAACGTCTTCATGCTGTTGTAAACATATGTAAATTTGAGTTTCACACATGTCTGACAAATGGATCCGGAGTTCACAGAATATCAGAATTTAAAAACAGTTCTTGAAACTTTAAGACTAATTCTCTTATATTGTTTTTATTAATACTGTATCTTTATTTTTTGTTGTTTATTCGGAGAACAAGAACCTTTTTTTTCTCAAACTCTTCTAAATTATTTTAAAAAAATTTCTTTTCCATGCACCTGTCAATCATTACTGATTTACAAACTCCATAATCTTTATATTTATCGTCTTATCAAGGTGTTTATTAATGCAGAATTACAGGTTTTTTAAATTAAAGATGACCTTGTAATAGCTTCAAGATAGCTCAACTTTTGAATTAATTTTGAAATCAGGTTTATAAGCTTTTGTGGAGCTTGAAATTCATAATTTGGTTTTCAACACGTGAGAGTCAATCAGGCAGACATTATATAAATTCAACCTTGCCATCGAGCAGCTGATCTGCCCGGGAGGGTACTCCCCTATATTTGCTATACGGGTATATGCCGCCCTATAAGGTATGGTTTTCCGGCTTTTGGGTCTGGGGTAGGGTATCATTTTTTGATTTTTGTCTGGGATAGGGTATCATTTCAGTCTGGAATAGGGTTATGATTTGGTCATTTTTGTCTGGCGAATAGGCTACGCTTTCTGCCTTCACAAAAACAATAAAAACGTTAGTAAATATTGATTGCAATCTGTTGAAAAAACCGTCTTTTCCGTCTTTTAGTCTGGGATAGGGTGTACAATTCTTAGTTTTAGTCTGGGGTAGGGTATGTAAAATCAAAATTTTAGGTCTGGGATAGGGTTAGGGTTTTGAGGTCCTGACGGCACACCCCTACCCAAGTTGGGGTGGTAGTACCCCCACCCCGGGCTGATCTGAAATAGTAACTTAGAAAGACGTCAAAAACAAACACTCGATAAGGTAGGATACAGTAAAAGTAACTTTCACAAGATGTTTGATAAGAAATGAATTAAGTAAAGATGTTCTAATCAACTGATACACCTTATTGCAAGAACCTTGTCATAAAAGATAAATAATAACGAAATGGGTTTCATTAGAAATATATGATTTTGATCCTAAAGGCGCTGAAATACGAGACACAAAAACGTCCAACTTGTCGCGCAACATTGTTGCGGTGCAAGTTCGAAAATAATGTTGCTCGTTTTACATCCTATCTATCCAACTTGTAACAAGTTGGGAAAACTTGTTGCGAAAAGTAGAACGTAGATCAACTTTCTGCAACAAATTTGGGATTTGTTGCTCGTTTTTCATCACTTGTCCAACTTGTCACGCAACATTTTATGTGCAGAACCGACCGCCATCTCGTAGCCAATCAGCGTGCAGAATATCACCGTGATAGTCCCAACTTGCAACAGCGCCAAGCTTAAGCCCCGTTTACACTAGCGAAGTTTGCGGCGATTTTTGCAGCGATTATTTTTTCGATTTTGTCCAGAATAAATAATGATAAAGAATTTGCTTGTAAAGTTTCTTTCAGGATACCAAGATTTTCCTAGACAAATGTCTCTTTTGAAGGATGAGACAAAAGATTTCATATTTCCGAAAATTGCCACGAAAATCGCAGCAAAAATCGCCGCAAAAATCGCCAGTGTAAACAAGGCTTTATAGACCCCTGGCATGAGACGGCAAAGCAGCTCAATTTGGGGGGAAAAACAAAAGAAATTCAATTTCCTGAGAATTGGAAACCTATTGTTATGTCCTCCAAATTGAGCTGCATTCCAAAGTTCTGCAAGGGGTCTATTCAATGTAATAAATACTGTAACCAGGGACACTTTTTGCCGGTTAGACAAAAAAAATTTAATCAATTTTCTTGGTGGCTGTACGCGTTGGTTGATGTATGAAAAAATGAGACTAATGACAAATATTTGGTTAATTTCAACCAAGATGGCGGCTGTGAAAACCATAAATGGCTGCTGTTTTCCTGATGTGGGAGGAGGAGCCAAAATCTGGAACGCTCCACCTTACAAAGCGAACCCTCTATCGATGTTTTTAAAAGAAAAAGAAAAAATTATCGATTTAGCATTGACAACACTGAAAATTAGTATTTTAAAATCTATGTATATTCATATTTAACTTATTTAGTTAAATAGATTTAGATTTTTATATAATTTATGTAACTATTTGATACAATTACAGATTCCGATTCCGATTCCGATTCCGATCTGCATTCCTCCCTCCCTCCCTCCCTCCCTCCATCAGTCCATCCGTCAGTCCGCTCATCCGTCAGTCCGTCCGTCCGTCCGTCGTCCATTCGTCCAACCGTCCGTCCATCCGTCGTCCGTCCATCCATCCATCCATCCATCCATCCATCCATCCATCCATCCATCCATCCATCCACCCACCCATCCATCCATCCATCCATCCATCCATCCATCCATCTCCATACATCCATTTTCAGACATTATCTAAACCACCCATTCATATACACATCAACACACGAAGATCCATCATTGTTTTTCTCTGTCGTATTAGTCAGATCTTGACCGAACCAAATACGATACTCTTGACCAGCGGTTACATTCATCGGCGTCGAGAAGGATTTAAAAGTAAGCTCCGTCGAGTTTCTGTTTACGCCTGGAAGTAAATACTGCAACCACGGAAAGTAAATTATAAACTCATCTTGTGGGAGAATCCTTCGGTCTTGGCTGTCTGTGAGGATCGTGTACAATACATTTTCACCACAGCCCCAATTGCTACGCTTTGTTTGAAGGCTTTCTTTATTGCAGGTCATTAAACCAGAGAGGTGTTTCAGCTGGATTGTCGTCACTGTTCCATTTTGTTTGATGTGGAAGTGTCCGTAGGAGGAGTTTTTAGTTCCAAAGCAGACAGGATTTGAGTTGATCTTGAGCCACCAGTTGTCTGAAGAAAGGGTTTTGAAATAGGTATTAATGATGATGGTGGTGGTGGTGATAATGATGATTATGACAATGATGGTGCTATGGTCAGGATGATTATGATGTTGATGACGATGATGATGATGTTGATGATAATGATGATGATGGTCATGATGATGATGGTGATGGTGAAAATGTTGGCCGATATAGATAAAAATGATGACGATGATAATGATGGTGATAATAATCATTCATGGCAATGACGACTATTACCATCGTCAAAGTCACTATAAACATCACTATCATAATAGATTATCACAACAACATCAACGCCTTCTTTGTCTTTATGATCTTAGCATCATCATATCACCACCATCAACATGACTCATTATCATCATCATCGACAACATCAACGCCTTCATTGTCTCCATGATCTCAACATCATCATATCACCACCATCAACATGACTCGCTATCATCATCATCAGCAACATCAACGCCTTCACTGTCTTCATGATCTCAACATCATATCACCACCATCAACGTGACTCACTTTCATCATCWTCAACAACATCAACGCCTGAACTCTCTTCGTGATCTCAACATCATCATATCACCATCATCAACAWGACTCACTATCATCATTAAGAGTATCACTTAAAAAAAGCAGAGCACGACGAAAGCGGCTAATTTGTCGARCAGGGACTATGCAACATTTTGGCTAGACAATAAGCTAAAGTAACATGTAAACAGAAAGCATGGTAATATAGAGAAAAATTATGAGAAATCAACCAAAGAATACGGTCAGCCCCGACTGTTTTAAATTTCAGGCAGGATTTCTTAATATGAGGAAAAAATTGCAACTCCACTCGGGACGTTTCTATGATGGCGTCATTGACCTCTACTTCCAAACTTCCTTGCACGCTTTCTTTTGTTCAGTTAATTAGCACCAATTTTCTTTCTATTCTCATGGTTAAATACAAACTGAAAGAAGAAAGAGAATTCGCGAAGCATCTTGGTAGTGGGAGTCAAATGACGCCATCATGCAAACATCCTCTTGGGATTACTGATAATGTCGATCGAACACAGTTAACAACAGTAAACATCAACAAATAGAATTTAAATATTTTTTGATTTGAAAAATATTCACGAATGTTGTGGGGTACAAATCCAATGAAAAATTTGGAAAAAATGCTTTAAAAATATTTTTTTCGAAACGATGGATTGGAAATGAAAGGCAAATTTAAAAAACAAAAAAACAAAAAACAAAAAAACGATTCCACTTTGCCATACCCCTGAGACATCCGCAGAGCTGAGGCGAAGTATGGACTTCGGACCTGACGGCGATTAAATCCTTCTGCCCTTGAGTGCACGAATTACGCAAGAAAATGTTTTAGCCGAAGCATCAGGGGAGAGACCAGCCGGCCCCCAGACCATAACGGCTAATCCCTTGCATCTCTGCCACGCACTGAATCGGTTGAAAAATTAATGTTAAAAAGTCGAGTCTATTCGTGCATTGTTTTCACGGTTATTGTTATGATAATTTCATAAATACGTGACCCAGTGGAAAAAACATGGGCTTCCGAGACACTGAGTCAAGCCCGTCTGGGGAGGATTAGTACCTGGATGGGTGACCTAAATATTCCACTTTCTTTCAAGTATAAAAAAATATTTGGTAATTTTTTTTTTTTTTGTTCGCAAATTGTCATAGTACATCAAATACACAATTTATTCATGAATTCTTCATATCCTAACCAGGAAAGATATATATTGGTGTGCGAATTTTTATCAGTTTATTTTATCATATAGTGCTCGAGCTCTTTCGCTAGCCAATATTTTATCTCTTCATCATTTCTGTTTATCTTTTTCTTATTATGGTAATGCACATTAATATATACTGAGGATATTACGTGCGCGCCGATTGGTCCAAAACTGTGCTTTACTAGTGAACGGAGCAAAATGCTGACGCCATCCGCGCGCACGAAGTGCTGCAAGATCCTGCGACCGTCTTTCTTTTTGCGTAAAAAAATTCAAAAGCCGAAATAAAATTAATGACTCTTATATTAAGACGAATAAAACAGCTTTTTCTTACGGCTCGTGCTTCTCGTTACACTTCTTTCGTGCTTACACCACTTCCTGCGTGCTTTATTACTGATCGGAGAACGGAAAAAGCTGTTTTATTTGTTAATTAAATCATGTTATGCCTTATAAGTTATTAAATTACTATTACGTTATTATATTGCACAAATTATTTTCCCGGTCTTCAAATAGACCTAGTTTTTCATCGTCTCCCGTTTATTTTAATTTAGCGGAATATTATTCTTCGACGTCACCATGCATCATCATCATTATGATCGCCATTTATAAAATAATTGGGATACTACGCGCGCTATGATTGGTCGAAAACCATGTTTGATGAGAGTATCAAAACACGCTATTGTCATTTTAGCGCGCGCGAGTATTGCAACTGTCAGATTCTAATTTATCGGTTGCGCTCATTGGTCAGTTTGAATAAGACGGCACGTAGGGAGAATTTACTTATACTTTGTTGTTTTTGGGGTTTTTTTCGATCTTTTCGCGCATTTGTTATTTTATAGAACAATTCAAAAACAGTTTTCCGTGTTTGATACTCTGATCAAAACACTTGAGATGTTGGGAGAACACTCGAGAAGCTGGAAACCACTCCGCTACGCGTCGTGGTTTCCTTCGCTCCTCTCGTGTTCTCACAACATCCCGCATGTTTTGATCAGAGTATCAAACACGGAAAACTGTTTTTGATCTGTTAATTAAAACAAATTATACGAATAAATGTCTGGTAAAGAAAAAATCAAACTTCAAAAAAACGACAAAATTCAAACAATAACAAAGTGTAGACTTATTTTGCTAGTTGCACAGAAAAAGTCCTTAAAGAATCCAGTCAACTAAATTGCATTGCGCGTCGGAATCAAAACAATAGGCCATTTTCTCTGCCAGGCAAAATGGCGGTTTTGTAGGTGAAGTTTGAAAATCCAGTTCCATCGGTCTCGTTATTCCTGCAAGATGCTTTAGGGTAATCATAAAATGATGATACGTGGTCATTTTATGCTTTCCATGAGATTTTTTWATTTTTTGCAAYGAATTTAAGGTAGAATTCGACAGTTGTGATGTCTAACAATATGGACGACCGAAAAGTCATAATGTCACAAAGACTAGAATCTCTCTGAAAAATTCAACCAACTTGCTGTGGAATGAAAGGAAGAAACCTTTGGGAATTTGAAGAGATTTTGCTCTACCAGTGCATAAAGGAGCTTTGAGAATGATGTAGGCGAACAATGTAAACAATAATATAGGTGCGCAGTGCATTGTAGTTGACTATAGAATTCTTTAAAATTGTAATATTCCCTTTTCAAGTAAGATTGATTTTCTTCAGACATTGAAGAAATAGAAATTAGGGGGAAATATTCTAATTTTTTCATTTCTTACATTGTTTTTTTGTTGTTGTTGTTGTTTTTTTTGTTTTTTTGTTTTTTTKTTTTTTTTTTTTTTKTTTTCAAAACCGCTACTTTTCGGTACTAGTCTAGTCACTAACAGACCACTAGTAGCACAGCCAATCAGAGCTCAGGAACATGACAGACCATTTAGTAGCTTTAARCTAATAGGGGTTAGTATAGATCTTGTTCCCATTGTTTTCTAGTTTTTAAGAAAAAAAACTATTATACGCTAGAAACTGTTTTACGTTCTGAAGAAAACCACTTTCGTGAAATCTGCTGTGTTCCTTGATTACAGGCTCACTTACGCAGGGTTAGCCTTGTATCAGTGTCTAAATACTCACGAATACCAACRGTAAAGTAAAGAATGCACAACTCCAACAATACAAACACTTTGAAACTCGAAGGAACTTCACTTGAAAACGAGGCTAATTTTGAGCAACAGAGAAATTGAAATTATGTATTGTACACTTACATTTTGTTTCACACCGTTTTCCCGTGAACCCTTGCAGGCAGTGGCAACGGACGCCATTAGATGTCGATTTTCTGCACGTTCCGCCATTTTCACACACGATATCTGTGCAATTATCCTATAAGAATAAAAGGATATCTGGTTGATAGCACGATTGGTAATGTTTGTTCGACATTGGGATTCATTGGGGATTCATTCGGCTGATTGATACCAAGCAATAGAATGGTCTCTGTTGATAGCACATGACGGGCAGTGTTTGCCTGCCTATATGGCAGGCTTATAATGACATTCATTCAGCTGATTGATACTAAGCAATAGAATACTCTCTGGTTGGTAGCACATGACGGGCAGTATTTGTTCGACATTGGGATTCACTGGGGATTCATTCGGCTGATTGATACCAAGCAATAGAATGGTCTCTGTTGATAGCACATGACGGGCAGTGTTTGCCTGCCTATATGGCAGGCTTATAATGACATTCATTCAGCTGATTGATACTAAGCAATAGAATACTCTCTGGTTGGTAGCACATGACGGGCAGTATTTGTTCGACATTGGGATTCACTGGGGATTCATTCGGCTGATTGATACCAAGCAATAGAATGGTCTCTGTTGATAGCACATGACGGGCAGTGTTTGCCTGCCTATATGGCAGGCTTATAATGACATTCATTCAGCTGATTGATACCAAGCAATAGAATAATCTCTAGTGATACCATACCGCGGGCAGTGCCTTGCCTGTCATCTATGCGTTTCGTTTAATGATAACATAGACAAAAGCTAATTAGTCACATTGTTTCGAAATGTCCCTGAAATGATGACTTTTTAGCGATAGTCTATATTATTTACCCGTGTTCTTTTTTATTTATTAAACCATATATTTTCAAATTCAATTCAAATTTACTTCAAGAGCCATAACGCGTCGTCTAAAACTGTACTTCTAAGATTCGTTTAGCTGATTTTAAAATACCAAACAATGAAGAATTCAAGTTAGAGTTTTCCCGCTTTTTTACATTAATAGAATAAAAAACCTTCGTACTTACAACCAATCGAGCAAAGTGATGATACACTTTTGATGGGGTCACTTTTGATACATCTCTATTCATCAAAACACATCCATGAAAGCCGTTCTCGGGTTTGTATGCAAAGTTTATCGACGAACACTCTGTTAAGCGCTTACATCTTAAGCAGCAATCGAGAACATCTGTCGATTTTACTTTCTCGATTACATTTCCTTCGAGCTGGTGGTTCTCAAATTTAGTGAAGTAGACACCACTTGTCTCCTCGCTCAAGGAATGGGATAAAAAACACGAGAAAAAGCTTAAAATTATTTTCAATTTGACTGACATATCGGCCTTCTTTGCTGAAAATAAACACAAAGAATGGCAAAAGTATTGTCGAGTGCAACGTTATAAAATATTGAGGCGGAGACCGGAGAGGTGTCTGGGTAATCATCCCGTAAAACGACTCAATTTTCGTAAATATAATTGGAACCTTTTGTATTCCTTTATCGGTGTGATTGCTTTAGCTGTTTCATTTGTTATAAATGAACATTTAATTATGATTTTATGGCAGTCATTTCACATAATAAGTTTCTTCGCATAATACTCTTTCCCTAAATTGAGGATTACTTATTGTTTCGATGTGTATTCAGAGCTCAAGCTGTGTCAAAAAACATACAATTTATTTCTGACGAAAGTCAGCAAAATTGCAGCGTACTGACTTTAAAACAAAGGACGATATTTTTCTTCATACCAGCTGTGCTATGAATTTTATTTCAGTGAATTACAGCTAGTTTAGTTATTTTGCTCTCATTTCCAGGATACTGCACCCAACTGTTTCTGACATATTTTTCTATTTTTCTAATACACGTACCTACAAGAAGCAGAAGTAATGAAAGAAAGAATAACAACAGTTTCACTTTACTGCCTTGTTTGCATCGTTATTTCAAGCTCCAAAAATACCAGTGCCAGTCATTTTGTCCGCTCACACTTTGCGCGCCATAATATATTCACAGCCGAACAACGTATAGTAGTTTCATTTTAGATTGGGATATGAAACATGACTTATGGGTTAGAAATGTGATTTTCGGCATTTTAACCAGAGAATATGAGTTTCATATCTCAGACTTTATTAAGAAAATAAACGCAAGTATTGCTGGACGTTTCGATGACATTCTGTCATCATTTTCAACAACATTTACTGTATGACAAAGTAGATATATGTCATCGAAATGTCCTGCAATTCTTGCGTTTATTTTCTTAATCAAATGTTTATCAAGATCCATACTAATATCTCAGACTGACAAGGATTTTCTGAAATAGGGGTATAATCTGAATCAGTAGCTGTAATATTTACYAATCTAAGGGGCTTTAGAATCAAATTCATATATTTCTAATAAATTCCATGCATTTCGTTATTATTTATCTTATATGACAAGGTTCTTGCAATAAGGTGTATCAATTGATTAGAACATGAAGAAGAAAATGGAGAAAAAGAAGAAGAAGAAGAAGAAGAAGAAGAGATTTTAAAAGAAGAAAAGAAAAAAAGGTTGAATTATAATATGACAGGATTTCAAAAAATAATGAGCTAATGATAGGCCTCTAGCTGATCTGGAATAAAACATTAGCCAATCAGAATCGAGAATATGTTTTCTCTATCTTCTTGCATTATCTCTTATCTTTATATACTTAATTCATCCCTTATCAAACATCTTGTGAAGGTTATTTTTACTGTATCCTACCTTATCGAGTGTTTGTTTTTGACGTCTTTCTATAAGTTATTTTTTCGGCAGATCAGCTGCTCGATGGCAATTTCAACCTCCACAAAAGCTTGAAAACCTGATTTCAAAATTAATTCAAAAGTTGAGTTATCTTGAAGATATTACAAGGTCATCTTTAATTTTAAAAACCTGTAGTTCTGTATTAATAAACACCTTGATAAGACGATAAATATAATGATTATGGAGTTTGTAAATCAGTAATGATTGACAGGTGCATGGAAAAGAAATTTTTTWAAAATAATTTAGAAGAGTTTGAGAAAAAAAAGGTTCTTGTTCTCCGAATAAACAACAAAAAATAAAGATACAGTATTAATAAAAACAATATAAGAGAATTAGTCTTAAAGTTTCAAGAACTGTTTTTAAATTCTGATATTCTGTGAAGTCCGGGTCCATTTGTCAGACATGTGTGAAACTCAAATTTACATATGTTTCGACAGCATGAAGACGTTTCGTGCGACAAATAGACCTGCAAAAATGGCGGCCAAAAATTGAAATGAGTTAAATTTAAAAACAATACCAGCACTAGAAAGAACACCTTTACTTGAGCAAACCTACAAAGATTCAACATGTCAAGTATTATATCGACCAAGAAAACTTTAGTTGAAAAATGACAAATTTACAGAGTTGTATGTCTAGGGGTATGCGCTATATCCCCAGACATACAAACGACTGTAAATTTGTCACTTTTGCCACATGTGACGCCACATGGGAATTGAGTTTGTTTGATGTGTTGTTCTCTCC